AGCAGATTTTGTATTGTTTTAAATTTTGCCTTTATTTTATCTGCTCTTGTAGTATTTTCCTGAATTCTTCTCCTTGCTTTCCTTGATCTTTCTACCAATCCTTTGAAGGTACCTAATTAACATTCTTTTGAATTCTTTTTCAGTTAGTTCCATTATCTTTTTTTTTAAGGTTTTTATTGTGGATTGAGTGAAAGTTTATATGATTTGTTTCACATTCAACAAACCATACACCATGTTTCATTACAATGATTATAATTCCTTCCATGTACCATCAGTTAACAGTATTTCTCTATATTCCCTTAACTTTCTTTAAAAAAAAAAAAAAAACTCAGGCATATATAATTATTTACACCTCCAAAGGGTACATTCTGCAAGTCTGCCTCCTGGACACCAGCTTAGTCCCTCTCTTCCCATGAATCTAGAGTCCTCAGCCACTCCCCCTCTCCATGACCCCATCTTTGCCTCCATCTCTGGCATTGTTGCATTCCTGGATAAGGTCCTGCATTCTGCTTGTGCTCTTCTCCCTTGATGGTCCTAGGGGCCACTATTTCTGGACTGTAAGATTAGCCACTCCCCTGTTTTTGTTACAAAACTTCTACCTTTAAAATTGTGACAGTTGCAATTAGTCATAACAATTATTCACTAGTGAATCATATATATCTTATACCCATCTCTTTCACCAGACCCATCTAGACAAGATGAAAACTATTCAGTGAGGATTTTTTTTCCCCCCACCCCATACTCTTTAACTAAACTCCCTCTTGAAACCTTGTAAGCCAGTCACTTCGAGCTTTGATCGCCCCCCACCCCTCACTTTAGGTAGCCTAATTCCATTACCTTTTATTCTTCAGAAATATTTTCTGGCTCTGAATGCTAGTCATTTGTTTAAGCCATTCTCTCTTGTTTCTTCATGTAAGCTACAATAGTCTGTTAGCTCTGGGGCATTGTGAAGTTGTCATATTTGTAAAATAAACAGTGCAGTTGTTGGACCCAGTGGGGAGAAATATCTGGTAGGGTCCTGCAATTCAGGGAGCTTACGAAGTTGTTGTGGAAGGGATGTGATAGCAGACTTCCTGACCCTAGATGGAGTTCCTATTGCTCTCAGTGTTAACTAGGTTCATGGCACTCAATCTGGAAGTAATCCTAAGGGTCCCTTGATGGAGCTGATTTTAGTATCTATCAGGATGACAGGGGATCTAGGGGCACAGTGACTGGTTAAATGGTGGTCTGGTGGCTCTGTGGGGTTTGTAGGTTTGGAGCAGAGCCCACCTGAATCCAGGCACCATAGGGGCATATCAAAGCAGCATAGCCATCACACTGGTGTGGCTCCCAACCACATGACTCCGAACTCATGGAGATCAGTGTCTGCACAGGGGGTGAATAAGAGTGGGAGCTGGCCACACCTCTGGTCACCAGAGTAGCATGGGGTAAAAGAAGAAATCATGCCTCTTCCCACTGTCCACGTGATTCTGCTCTTCCAAGCCTCCATAAATCTCCAAAGCTTTTCACAGATGGTGGAGCCACATCAAGCTCAGTGTTTCCTCCCAGCTAGCACTCCCTCCACCTCTCTAACCTTTCTTCTGAAGTTCAGGGTGCCAGAATTTTCATCTGTATCTGTTTCATTTGGTCTCTCAAATGTTTGTTGTAGAGGGTCCATGTAGTGCATCTGCCTAGTCCTTCATCTGGACGAAAGCCCTCCATGTACTTTTAAAATTCTTCTCCAACACCATAACTTAAATGCAGATTCTTCTGCAGTGTGCCGAATTCGTTGTCCAACATTCACATGCATATGAAACAATTGGAAATACCATGGCTTGGGTCAAGTGCACCTTAATCTTCAAACTGGCATCTTTGCTCTTGATCACTTTTTAGAGTCCTAGAATAACTTAAATAAGCTATATGCCACAATCTAGTACACAGTCTTTGTCAAGTACATGACCTATAAATTGGAGTAAGACGTGTAAAAGGTTTATTGTACGGTGGTGGTAGTGATGGTGGTTGTGTGCCATGGAGTTGGTTATTACTCATAGTGACCCTGCATAGAGTGTCCCAGGTTGTAAATCTTTATGGGAGCAGAAAGCCTCATCTTTCTCTCACAGAACCCTGGTAGTTTCGAACTTTTGACCATGATATTAGCAGCCTGACTCCTAACTACTATGCTACCAGAATTCCTTTTATTATAGGGTAGTACATATATTGGAACAGACTCCATGGCACATCACAACTACCACTTGCTACCTGAAGGGCTGGTGTTACTGTAGGATATGCTAACCACAAGCTCAGCATTTCAAACCCATCAGCCTCCCTGCTCATGAAAAATTTATCACCTCAGAAACTCTATATAGGTTCATTTTGAGTCAGGACCAACTCAAGGGCACCTAAACAGCAATTTGGTATATAAAGAAACCTGGTGGCACTGCAGGATGAGCACTGGACTGCTAACCACAAAGTTGGCAGTCCAAACCCACCAAGCACTCCACAGGAAAAAGACGAGGCTGCTCCTATAATGATTTACAGTCATGGAAACTTTTTACAGGGTAGGGTCACTATGAGTCAGAATTGACCCAGTGGCAGTGGGGTGGACTTGGTAAGTATTAGTAAGCTCTCAATAAATATTAGAAATTATTGTTGTCATTGTTGTTGTTCAGGGGGAAGACCCATGTTAGTATTGAGCAAACCTGGTCTAATTACCCTGACCATCAGTCCACTCCCACCAGACAATTCCTAATCCTCCTACTGCATGATCGCATAATCCCCCATTTCCTATCCCATGTGGCACTTATCCCAACTGTAATGAGATAAAGCATTATGCAGTGCATTGTTTAATGCACTGTTATGGCACTGTAAGATACACACTGGACTGCTAACCACAAAGTTGGTAGTTCAAACCCACCAGCCTCTCTCAGAAACCCTATATATAACCGCGATGAGTCAGAACTAACTTGATGGCACAAAATAACAATGATAACATCAGCAAAAGAATAAGCTGTCCATCTAAAAGTCTTTTATTATCTGTCTTGCCTTTCCAACAAAAACTACAAAGCACATAACAGGCACTCAAAATGACTCATTGAATGGAACATTCTAATCATTCTTTTGAAATTGTCAATTCCTGACTCCCCATTGTTAAGGAACAAACAAAATTGTCAGGGAAAAAAATATCAAATAACTCCTTAAAGATAAAAAATGTACTGCATTATTATTTCTTCTCTTTCATTGACTATATACATACATCTCAGCCTCATATTTTTTTAAAAAAGGATTTTTGCATATCTGCATAAAAAAAGAACAAAAACTAATGTCCTTGGAAATAAATGGCAAGATAGAATAATTATAGATGTTTGTTTCCATTAAGTGTCTTTGAATCCTTGTCAGCCTTTTGGTTTTTGTCTTGAAGAAGAGAAGCCAACCATTTGCTTAATTTATCTTCCTCAATCATCTTGAGGGAAATAAATTTTTTCTTGACTATGATATCCAATAGCTAAAAACAAAATGTAGCTAATTACCCTCTTTCATTTGACTTTCATAAGGAGATTAACAGTATAGTAACAGTTTGGAAAGCAAGTGAAATCATAATGGAGCTAAAGAGAGTCTAAGGCATTTCATAAAACGCAGACAACAAATTATCTCCATCTCTGTACTGGCCGCCCCCTCCCACCCACTCCCCTGTTTCCTCTGACCTGAATAATCACTAAACTGAATCCTTGGTTTATCATTCCCATTTTCTATTTTCTAAAACATAGTTTTATCACATACATGTAGATGCCTAAAAATATTGTTTTGAATGTTTTTACATTTATAAAATGGATTGACCTTTTTACTCAGTAACATATTTCTAAGTTATATATATTATTTCCTATATTTATGGTTCACATATTTCACACTATATAATATTCCAATTTTCTGAATATAGTCATTCCTCTGTACCTATATGGGATACCAAAATTCCTTATATAAATGTGTGGTTCAAGTCCCTTAGAGAAAATGGTGTAATATTTATCTATAAACTATGCACATCCTCCCATGTACTTTGAATCCTCTCTAAATTACTTATGGTACTTAATACAATGTAAATGCTCTGTAACTAGCACTTTATATTTCCTCTTACCTTTGAGGGATTGCTTTGGCCATTGGTCTGCCGTGGTTGAAATCTCAGATGCAGAATCCATGGATATGGAGGGCCAATTGTATTCCATCTATATATCTTTTTTTTAAAAAAAATGAATATTTGGGTTGTTTCCAGCTTTTGTTATTATGAATAGTGTCTCTAAGAATATTTTAGTATATATCGCTTGATGCGCTTGTGGAGACTTCTTTGAAAATGTAGTTAGGAATAGAATTGCTGGTCTGAGATATGCAAGTGTTCAACTCACCAGATGATACCAAACTGTTTTCCAAAATGGCTGTATCAGCGTACCTTCCCACAAACAATGCATATGTGACCTTTTTGATTCGTAGCTTCTCCGACATTTCGTATTATCAGACCTTTGTTTCCGCCATTGAAGTTAGTTATTACAAGTTCTTGATGTTTTCATTTTCATACTGCACAATATGTTCACATGGTATTGTTACATTATTTAAAATAAGCAAAAGTTAAAGAGGGCCGTGAATGATCAACGATGCAAGTATATTATAAACCAAAGATCATGCCTAGTCCAATTTTGTGTACTCAGGTTCAGATGAAGTGTACAGGGAATTCTAGCTCGGGTGCAGATCTCAAAAAACATTCCTAAGAAATCCTTTGAAGGCAAGAGCAGAGGCTTTGGTATAAAATATTCCCCAGATACATTGAGTGCAGTCTATCCCTCTCCTTCTCAGGTTAGTCTTGTCTACTCAGAGATGTGGCAGATCTGAGGGTAATCATAGAGAATGTCTCTGAGTCTTTTGAAGCAAAGATGGTGAAAATATATCAGGTCTGATAACAATAGTACACAGCAGGTGTGGTGGCAACCTCTCAAGAACAGTATGGAAACTTGATCTAAGATTGTCTTTTTTCCTAGGATATGGCATTGGTCTCCCACCCAACTCTCTACTGACCTCCAACATATCCGACCTAATCAGTCAATACAAGTCACATGGGTTTATGGATGTGCTGCATGACAAGTGGTACAAGGTGGTCCCGTGTGGCAAGAGAAGTTTCGCTGTCACTGAGGTAAGGAAAGGCTGCTGCCGGCAATGTTGAATTTTTGTGTTGCTTTACACTGAAGAATATGAGGGAATACACTTCTTACCTGTGCCTCATGGTCAGCAATTACAGCCACCAGATCTGTCCTATTTTGGGTTGCTCCTAATTTAATTTGAAGAGTGTCCATTTCTATAGGAATTTCCAGTGAGACAGATTGATTTTAGAGACACTGTAGGATAAGCACTGGACTGCTAATTTCAAGGTCGGCAGCTCAAACCCACCAGCCGCTCCTCAAAAACCCTTTACAGAGTTGCTCTGAGTCAGAACTGATTTGATAGCACTTAACAACAACAAATTTACTTTTCCCATGTACAGTATATCCGCAAGTGCAGAAGAAATGCCATTCTGAATTAAAGCAGTAGCGTCTGAAATTGACATTAACAGTGTTTGGTTTAACCATTAATTGTTGGTCACGATGTGGACTTCAGATTATCTTTCAAGTTCTATATCAGGCTTTTGCTAACTTTCCAGTGCTTATGCAATGATAAATCCTTTGTGGGTTTAGGAAAACAGATATAATTTAACCAATAGTTCTTAGACTACAAAATCAGTTTTGGTTTTCTTTGGAACTGAAAACAGTAACCTCCCTTCGTTTTATGGATAGGAAACTAATACCCAGAGATATTAAATGGTTTTCCTAAAGCATACAAACAGCAGAATTCACCCCTATCTGTTGTGGCATACTGCTGTTAAGATATAATTAGAAAGAAATACACAAAGTGTGCCAGAATTTGGATAATAAAGATAGACTGAAAGGTGCAACCAGAGCCCCAGTCTCAGGTCTTTAAAAAAGAAGCCAAATAAATCATGCGTCAACCTAAAGCAACAACAAAAACTGAAGTCAACAATAATGGTTTTAAATAGCATATCTTTGCCAACAACTCCCAAATTTTTATTTCAACACAGACCTTTCTTCTGAGTTCCCAAACCATATATCCACCTTTCTATTTGACATCTCCACTAGAATATCCTACAGGCATCTCCTATTTGTCAGAAACAAAACCCTTGATCTTCCCTTCCAATCCTATTTTCTTCCTGATTCCCATCTTAGTAAATGGCATGTCTGTCCACTGAGTTCTTTGCTCCAGAAACAGGAAGGGATCCTTAATGCCTCCCACATCTCACCTTCTGCATCCACCAACAAGCCGTAACTTTTGCTCTTATCAAATAGGCTTCAGATGTTGTTGTTGTTGTTATGTGCCATCTGGTCAGTTCCAACCCATAGTGACCCTGTATAGGGTTTCCAAAGAGACGCTGGTGAGCTTGAACCGCCAACCTTGCAGTTCAAACGGCTTTGCAGTCTGGCGCATTAACCTACAGCGCCACACCAGGACTCCTGGCACATAGTAAGTACTTAATAAATTGTAATTATGCAGTCGACCGAATAACGTGAGTCCAATTCTCCCAGGATAGCCCTCCTTGTATCTTGGTTTCTCACACACACTCCTCATTTTGATGTGATCACGTAAAGGAAACCCATTTTTCAAGTTTTATTTATAGTTAGGACTATTACAAAATCCCCTGAGCCAAGGCCCCAAAAGATCTATGGGATAAAGTATTAGACTGCAAAGTCAATTTGAAACACAAGGTCAGCAGCTCAAACTCACTGGCCGCTCCTTGGAAACCGTATATAGGGTTGCCATGAGTTGGAACCAACTTGACGGTACTTAAATCAACAAAAGACACACTGCAAAATTGAATAAACCTTTTTTCCCTAATTTTTTTTTTCTTTTTTAACACTATATGAGGAGGCGTGGGACCACAGTCGTCTGTAGAATAAACACTTGACTGCGAACCATAACCTCCGTGGTTTGAGCCCACCAGCCATTTTGTGAGAAAAAGATGTAGTTTTCTGCTCCTACAAAGATTTACAGTCTAAGAAACCCTATACCTGGTCACTATGAACGGTGTGGCACTGTGGGTTAATGTGCCAGACTGCAAAGCTGTTTGAACTGCGAGGTTGTTCAAGCTCACCAGCTGTTCCTCGGAAACCCTATACAGGGTCGCTATGGGTTGGAATCGACTCGATGGCACTTAACAACAACAACAAATGAGTCAGAACCGAGTCAGTAACAACAGCAAGGTGCCCGGTTGGTGCTGTAGGATATGCACTGGACTGCTAACCCCAAGGTCAGCAATTCAAACCTACCAGCCACTCCTGGGGAGAAAGGTGAGGCTGTCTGTTCCTATACAGATTTATAGCACCGGAAACCCTATACAGGGTTGCTAAGAGTCGGAATCAACTCCATGGCAGTAGGTTTGGGGTTTTTGTTTGTTTTTTATGAGACTTTGCTTTCAAAATATCTATTTACCAACCCCATTTCAGGAAAATTCTGTTAGTATAAAGATTTCTAACCATACATTTGCTAGCCATACTATTTCCACCACTCTTCTCTGAGTAAAGCTGCTTTATCCATGGAGAAAAGATCAGGATTCTATTCTCAAAATTGTTCTCTTGGGCTATTAAGCTGTATCCAATTTCCAGGGAGCTAGTTGCCATCATCTTTAGGGTTGAAGGATTCCATTTTGCTTCATCCATCAACCACAAAATAGTGAACCTTGTCTTTATTGCAAAGCTACATTTCTAATGATAATAAAAGCAACTCCGTCTGTTCTAAGTTGAATCAGCAATTTAAAAATAAGATTTCTATGACCATGGAATACAGATTTGCAAAGTGACTGATAAAAAAGGAGAGTGTAAATAAAACAGAAGGTTTTACTTTTTTACATTTCTGAATAGAATACATTTTTATTTCTTTTAACACAATCCCCTTCTCCACATAACATTTCCCCCCTTTCTTTCCTGTATACAGATGCATGTTTTTGTTAAGTGCCATAGAGTGGATTCTGACTCATTCTGACCCCATAGCATGGGGCTTCCAAGAAGAGGCTAGTAGGTTTGTATAGCCAACTTTGCATTTAGCAGTCCTGTGCTTATCCTACAGCTCCACACCAGGGCTTGGTTTAATTATCAGATGGAAATAATTAAGGCTAGAAAAACCATTAAGATCTCAACATTCCATATAAGTATTGAAAAGGAAAACACTAAATGACAGTAACCTATTTTTAGCAGTCAATTGCAATTTAACTGAGACATGATGAAGTGCAGTGATTTAATTTTATTATTTCCTATGTAGCAATTTTTTATAAATGTCACTACAACTTCCACAGAGCTTACTTCATAGGGTAATTTTAATACTTGTGTTGTTGTGTCAAAATTCTATTCTTCCAATGTGTGTAAGAATTATGATAAGTATTAACTTCCAATTTTTAAACTTTCTAATCATGTATTATTTTCTCTTCTCACAAAAATACCTCTATCTGGATTCAAGCTCAGATTTTTTCCTTCTGATCTGGTAGCATTCTCTCATTCCTCCTTACCTGCACAGTTTTTGCTCTCCTCCCCATTGAGTTCTAATCATTAGACTTTACCTTTATTGAATTTATGCCTCATCTACCTTTGCATTCCAAAACAACATCATGTAACTTTCTACCATTTTATGTAGTTGTTTATGTATGCCTCATCTCCTTCAGGAGTTCTGCTGTGGCACTGCAGGGTAATGCAGTGGACTGCAAGGTCAGTTTGAACCGATAGGTCAGCAGTTCAAACCCACCAGCTGCTCCTCAGAAACCCTATACAGGGTCACTATGGGTCAGAACCAACTCGACAGCACTTAACAACAACATCTCCTTCATGCCGCCATAAGCTTCTTAAGGGTAGACTGTGTATCTAGGTTAACTAAGTAACCTCCAGAGCATTTGGGAGAGAAATTATCCGGCACAGAATAAATATCTGTGGAATTAACGAGTAGATGAATAAGTGTGCAATAAATGCTTATCCAATGGAAACTGAAAAACAATTCTGCCATTATTATGCTATTCTGGTCTGGAATTATGGGATCCAATAGGATTTTTAGAAAAACAATGTACAGTCAGAGAAGATCTTCAACTAGATATTTTTTTCACAGATACATTTATATACCAGTTGGGAATAGTTACACTATATCCACACAACCAATTAAAGGGTTGGGGTTTTGTTTTTGGTTCTGTTTTCAAAAAATCTGACAACGAACTGTGTATTTGTGTCTGCTAAAAACAAATGGCCAGTGTAGATCACAGTGGCTTTTTACGAAATTGCCTCCTTTGGGAGGAATCACATCAATATGGCTGTAGTGATATTATGTTGAAGGGGAGGAAAAAGCAAAGAACTGCCCTGCCCACATGTTATAATGGTCGGAACATTGGCATTAGAATCACACACTTACTTTCTTTTACTAGCTATGTGACCCTGAGCAGGTTGTTTACTCAAACTTTAGGACTCTAGGTAATAACTACTCTGCATAGATTCATATAGGGACTAGACACATGTGCATATGTGTCTTAGATTGGATTCTCTAGAGAAGCAAAACCAGTGAAACATATATATATACATATAGAGAGAAGTTTATAAAAAGGAAATGACTCATACAGTTGTGGAGGTGTTGTTGTTTTTAAGTGCCATCGAGTCAGTACTGATTCAAAGTGACCCTATGCACAGCAGGTGGGAGAGTCCCAACTCTGTGTCAGACAAACCAAGATCAGCAAGTTAGATGGCAAGCAGGCAGGAAGCCAGGTCTGACAAGCAGGTCCAGCAGGCAAGCTGCTGATGCCATCCCACTGGCTCAAGTCCAAAGATCGGGAGGTCGGAGGAGGAGCCAGATTCAGGATCCAGATCCAGCATAAAATAAGCAAGCTTTGCCTGAGTAGCTATTATATTGAAAGTAGGCCACATCCTTGAGGGAACTTCCTTTCAATGGATTGGCTGCTCATAGCAGACCTAACCATAGAATTAATTAATTAATTCTATCTCATCACAGGGATAACAGTATCTCAACTGCCAAATCACGGAGAATCGTAGCCCAGTCAAGTTGACGCAAAACCTTAACCATCACAATATGATACAGAAGTGTTCAGTATCTATTGTTGTT